TACATGTGCATGCAGTGCCTACAGAGGCCAGAAGATGGCAGCAGATCCCCAGGGCTGGGTAGCTATGAGGGGCCATGTGGTTGTTGGGAATGCGGTGGGGATGCACACCACACCTTTAATCCCAGCACTCAGGAGTCAGGGACGGGGGAGCTCTGTGAGTTTGAGACTGTACAGTTTGTTTTACCTGGTCCTGCAGCAATTTAGTTTCCAAATAAACACACTGAAGCTTATATTAATTATAGCTGTTTGCCCATGGCTCAGGCTTCTTATTGGCTAACTCTCTCTTAATTATGAACCCATTTCTATTGATCTATGGATTTCCTCCTTGGGTGTCCTATCTCCCCAGTAGCAACACGACGTCTCCCTGGTGGCTCCTGTCTCCCTGGTGGCTCCTCTCTACCTCCTTCTTCCCAGAATTCTCCTAGTCTGGTAGCCCTGCCTATACTTCCTGCCTGGCTACATCCTGCCTGTCTATTGACCAAAATAGCTTTATTCACCAACCAATAAGAGAAGCTTGCGAAAGGAGCTTCCCCGTCAGCAGCCTGGCCTACATAGTGAGTTTTTGGCCAGTCAGGGCTACAAAGTGAGATCATGTGTAAAAAAGCAAGGTCTTTAATGTAGCTAGGAATGAGGGCCTAAGCCTGCTGTCCTAGCTACGCAGGAGGTGGAGAAGGAAGGTCAGCCCAGGAGGGCAGCTGGGTATCTGTCTCAGAAATAAGGCAGCCCCATCCTGAGCTCCACACATGCCGTGTGGTAGATGTACAGAGACATGCATACATGTCTAAGTAATAAAAAACAGAGACAGTGGACAATGACCTAGACACCTTTATGGCTTCACACCATTGCTGCAAACTCCTTTGAGTATTGATCTCATTTTCTGTTCAAGTGGATTCGAACAGGGTGCAGACATTCTGCCGAGCGGTCTCCTTTAAATGTGGCTCAGTGGTAAAAACCCTAGGTATCCAGATTTGATGACCCAAGCTTAATCCCTGCAACCCACAAAGCAGCCAGATAATGGCAGTGCACACCGAAGCCCAGCGCTGCTATGGGGCCGCGGTGCACAGACTGCTTGTGGCTCAGGGCCAGCCAGGCTGAACTATGCAGCCAAAGCCAGAGACGCTGTGTCAGCAAGGGGGGAGCAGAAATGGGCTCATGAATTATCCTGTAATCTCCACGCGTGCTGCGGCGCACACGAGGTCCTAGTCTGAGTTGCGAGCAGTCATATGG